AAAGAAAATTGTAGCTCAGTATTCAAAAGGATTTACATAACAAGTTTTAACCTCAACATCTGCTAGGAAGTCGTGAAAACGAGTGGTGTGGGGCGTACTCGTATGTTTCTGTGTGGACACCGAAGGTCTTGATGGTTGTCTGAACGAGGAGTTTGTAGCAGGCCTCTGTGCAGAGATATGAATCAGCCCTGGCCCTGGAGATTGCCGGGCCCATTGCTGATCTCCGCACACCGATCTCCAACCAGCTCTCCGAGGTCCAGGGGTTCCCTCAGGTGGAGGCAGAGTCCGCCAGGAAAAAGACACGTGGAGACACAAGAGAGCTTTCAAGAAGTGTCTCACTTTATTTTTACAGCATGTCCCTTTTATACTGGGCAGTTGACTATTTACATCATTGAGCTGTTTTTCCCAGAGTTGTTTTTCCAAATTTAAACCTTTACCCATTAGGAAATCGTTTTCTACATAGTTTCAATGTTCCTTCCTTCCCAGGGTCTATTTTCCTTAGGAGTTTGTTTTTCTCAGAGTTTTACTTCCTCACAATGTTTCTGTTACAGGGTACATCCGGATCTGTTCTATACTAATGACTAACTTATCCTAACTATGTTTCAATTTCTACCAATAATGGCCAGAGCTGAGTTCCTGCCTTGGCACTTAAAGGATGTTTGCTACTTAGCAATTATTTCAAACACTACTGGCTAAACAGGATCTTAAGAATTATAAGGTGTATAGCTTGTCTATCACTAAGAAACTAACCTCAAAACAGAATTATCGCAATATGTCTAAAACTCATTTATTCAGTTAAGATAAAGTAAACAACCAATATAAGAAGGGGTGTCAGATCTTCATCCTACTGGGGGCATCCACAAGGGAATTTAAAAATTTTTCAAGATGTAAAGCAGTATCTGTTTCTCAGTCAGAGCTTCAGAATTTGTCACAATAGCAGTGCACTTGGCCATGTCAAACACTGAGGCGCAGCCGACTCCCAACATCCGTGCTGTGTTCTGGGTGTTGTGCCACAGCCTGAGCCCTTGTTACCACTCTCAACCCACTGTCCCATTAGAGGGCAGAAGCCTCTGAAACAGCTCAATATTACAGGGAAGAGCAGTTACTTGTTTATCCTCCCTTGTTTCTGGTCTATGAAAGAGTTTGAGGATTGAGGGGGGTTTTAGTCCCCGGGATATGGAAAAAAGCGAGCCTGTTTGTCTGACTTCTTATTTCTGTGATGCTCAGGCATGCCTCCTCAAGTGCTGGCACCAGGGAATGTGGAACAGTATGGTGCAGGTGACTTCAGACAACTGCCTTTTAAACTACTGAGTTGACCTTGTTAGAGGTCAAGGCTAAATGCAGTTCAAAGGGCAATTAGGATAAAGTTCTTGTTGCCAGCATGCATTTATTTACATTTAAATGCATTGTTTGAATAGGTAATGCATTCACATAGTTTGGAATTTAGAAGCATGTCCAGTGAAGAGCATGCCTTCTCTCTTTCCCCAGCCACTTCGACCCCCTCCCCAGTGATAGCAATCTTAGCAGTTTCTCATATGTTCTTCCAGAGATATCTTTTTTTAAAAATTTTTTATTGGGGAACAGTCATGTCATTAGTTGCACGTTGCTTTCATGCTACAGTGGCATACTTGACTCTTAGGGAGGGCTCAGCTCACAGTGGCCCATGTGGGGATCGAACCAGCAACCTTGGTGTTATCAGCACCACACTCTAACCAACTGTGCTAACCGGTTACCCCCAGAGATATCTTGTACATATATAAACAAATACATATGTGTACCCTCTACTACCCCTTGTTTTAAACAAATGCTACTACTATATACAGTGTATGTATACACTGTCCAGAACGTTTTTAAAATTACCAATGTTCCCTGGAGATGTTTCCATATTTATGCATAGAGAGCTTTAGATGTGTTTTGTTCTAGTTTTTAAGCCTGCGTTTTCCACTGTTTGTACTGTAGTATATTTAGCCAGTCTCCCACTGATGGGACATGTAGGTCTTCTTGGTCTTTTACTGTTACCAACACACAGCACGTGTCATCATTAAGGGCTCAGCAGTGCGGAAGGCATGTCCGTGGCTGGTGAGAAGGCTGGGATCTAGGGTCCAAGTGTAGGGCTTGTCTGTGCTGGAGTCACAGAGGTTCATACATGGAACAGGAGAGACTGCAGAGTGTATGGCCCACGTCCTCGTAGGTGGGTAGATGTGGGAGCGGGAGCTATTGGGACTTTGTTTTGTGATGGCTTCTATTTTCTCACTGACGTAGAAAATCAAGCCATCAGCTAAAATTAAGAAAGGAAAAATCGTTTTCCATGGTCAGAGTGACAAAAGGAAAGTATTGCCTAGGAGAGTGGGTAAGTGGATGGACTAGGGCAGGGGTCGGCAACCTTTGAGATGGAAGAGCCAATCCTGTCCCTCACGACAATTAAAAAATCATTCGAGAGCCGTAAAACAAATGAAATCACCATTATGTGAATAATATCCTTTAAAAATTTTATAAATGAAACTATGAGTTTTATTTTCATTTTCAATTTTACTTCAGAGCCACATGTACGTACGTACCTGAGAGCCACATGTGGCTTGCGAGCCGCAGTTTGCCGACCCCTGGATTAGGGGAATACAGTTGATTGCTTGCTGAGCACTCAAGATCAGTGAAATTAAGAGCACCCAGTCAGCGCGGTGGTGTGTTTCTCCGGCTGTGTTCAGCCTGTGAATACCGGCACGTGTAAATGGAGTTGGATTTAGCCTGCATTGGGGTTCAGCCAAGTAACTCCTGTTCCTCTTTCTATATAAAGGGGCTTATTTAAGATTTAGTTGTCAGGGATCATGAATAGCGAAATCTCTTGGCAAGAGAGTATAAATATTGCACATTTAGACCTGAGACATTGGAGGCTTGACAGATTAAATTCTTGTTCCTGCCCTGCTGAAAGGAACCCTCTTGTTGCTTTCAGATTTCCGACTACATGATGCTACCCGACATGGCCACCCTGTCCGAGCGGCTTCGAGTGTGTCTCCAGGAGGGTGATGAGAACCCACGGGACTTTACTACCCTCTTCGATCTATCCATATACCAGCTGGATACCACCTCCCTCCCCAAGGTCATCAAGTCAGTACCTGTGGCGCTGAGCTGCACTGGACTGCGTTCTGAGGGTTTGGTTTGAAAAGGAGCCTGGGGACTGGAGTTAGGGTCACGGCCAGTGCGGTAACGCAAAACATGTTCTCAGGTCTGACGGGGCCGACAGAGAGCTGGGATATTGGGCTGGAGGTGTTGACGCCCAGGAAACTGTCAGCTGTTGTTAGCCCTTCCTGTATGCCAGGCCTGTATGAGGCTTTTTAGGGTGACCAATTTGTTCCGGTTTGCCTGGACTTGCCTAGTTTTAGCACAGAGAGCTCTTCGTCCCAGGCATCCCCTCCATAAACCAAGGTAGTTAGTCTCCTTATAAGCTCTCCACGTCGTCACTTCAGTTAATAATACTCTCAGTAGTCCTCTGAATTACCTCATTTCCAGCTGAGGAAACTAAGGCTTAAAGAGAGTCAGGTGTCTTCCCAGGGTGGCAGCAGGGATTCAAGCCAGGGCTCTACCCTGTTTTATCGCCTGCTTGTTGTTGTCGTTCATTCCCTAATACAGGGGCAGCGACTAACATTTTTGAGCATTTTTGGCCTGGCACAGAATCTACATCTGAATTAGCCAAAGGCTGAAGGAGCAGCTACAGACAATTGTCTAACTTCCTACCCCTTATACTTATGTTCAAGTTCAACAAATACTTACAGAGCTCCTACCATGCAAAGCACTATACCTAAATTGTATGGTTTTATGGAGGAGACAGACGGAAGCCATGATACAAGGTTCTTATAGTAATGCTAAATGTGAAATATAGAACTCTAGGCCACGGGCATAATGATGAAAGAGAATTTGATTCTGACTGGGGTGAGCACGGAAGGCTTTATGAAAGAGGGGTCCTTTTAGCCAGGCATTGATTATTTCAGCAAACATTTTTTGGTGGCCTTGCGTCTGCTTGGCACTATCCTGGGTACTGTGCTTTAAGGGGTCAGAAGGATGTCAGGACATGGTGGGGGTGATGGGTGGGAGAGAGCATTGGGCAGCAGTGTAGCTTATGTGAGCACTGCCCCAGACATTCACACGTGCAGGTGTGTCCAGGCAAGAAACATTATTCCTAAGCCCTTTGGACTGTGCTTAGCCTTGACTTCTAACAAGGTCAACTTGGTAGTTTAAAAATCCGTCCTCTGAAGTCACCTGCCACATACTGTTCCACATTCCCTAGTGCCAGCAGTTGAGGAGACGTGCCTGAGCATCACAGAAATAAGAAGTCAAGACAAAGAGCCTGAGGCTCAGGGCGAGGGTCGGATTTGTGAATGGGGTACCAGTAAGGACCTCTAGAGGAAGGACGTGACTGAATCTGCTTTCCAAAACCAACCAAAAACAAGTTCTTTTAGCAGTTTGTACAATTCATTGGGGTAAAGGAAAAGTAGAGGGGAAGAAACCAGTTAAGAGGCTGTTACAGCAGAGCAGAGAGGTGGAAAGGTGGAGCTAGTCAGTGTGTGTGGCTGTGACTTCGAGAGATGTTTGGGGAGAAAGAATCACAAGACCTGGGCCATGGGTGGCTGTGATGGACGTGGCAGAGACTGTTCTCCCTTGGGGGATCTGGGCAACTGGCAGGAAGAATGCAGGACAAGGACAGAGAAATGAGTTCAGTTCCAGGCACTCCCAAGCTCATGGCCAAGAGGGTTCCCTGTGAAGGTGTGCAGGTGGAAATACTAGTGTAGACACGAAGGGGTCTAGATAAGGCGGTTGGGGCAACTGCGACAAACTGGAGACACCCAGGAACAGCAGCATGAGAGCGAGAATTGGGCTCAAGTCAAGACCTCACAGCTCCCGGTGCTTGAGAGGCAGAAGAGGAGGGCCTGTGACAAGCTGGGGAAAGGCAGCTAGAGGGGCAGGACGGCGCCTGTGGACAGCAGCGTCCCTGGCAGCCCCGCGAGGAGGAAATACCATGGAAGTGGGGAGGTCCAGAGATGGGCCACAGGCTCCTCTGCAGGCAGGGCTGTCCTCAGAATAATGAAGACACATCAGGCTGCTCCACTGGCCAGTTACAGTCAACCAGCTCCTGCTGTTGCAGCCTGCTTCTCTCCGATGTGGTTTAGACCAGGCCACCATGACTGCTGTGCAATGTTGAATGAGGACTTGATTGGCACTGTCTACTATTTCAGTGTCAACAGGGTCCAGCAGTGGAAGCTTCAGAGGCTCGGATGGCTGTCTTAATCATACTTGTCTTCATACTATACCAAAGGGCAGTAGTTCCTGGCTTGCAGTTTCTATATGTTGCTCTGAGGTCATTTTTATTTGCTAGTAATGGTTTTTGAATGCAGTTTCTCTTTTCTGAGTAACATTCAGTTGGTCTTTAAATATTTCTGTCATCGATAACGTGTTGCTCTGAAGTAACTTCATCTGTGCGTCAGTGTTTACCAATGCCCATGGGCTGTGAGGTCGAGACAAGCGGCGTGGAGTTCCTGCCCTCAAGCTCATGGTCCGGTGGGCTGGGGACTGAGACATGGGGTGGTGAAAATGCAGTGTCAGCGGTCGGGCCACAGTGTTCTGATCATGCATAGCTCAGCCCCATTTCACAGACTTGTATTCAGCATTGGCATTTCCCTCTTTCCTTTCCCCGTACAGATCAGCTTTCTGAATTTGGCTTTGCTTGGTGGTAAGGTTAGCTTCTCCACCCTTCTCTACCCCCATCAATTACATGTTGGCTACTAGGAGGAGGAAGATATGGGCAGGTGGTGAACTGAATGGACAAAGGGAAGACTTAATGGAATTTATATGATTATTAACTAACACAGGGCTTCAACACAGTCAGCTCCATTTGGGGACAGAAAGCAGAAAATAACAGCTGGGATGGCCGAGGCCAGGACCCGGCCACAGGATTCTTTTTATGTGTGTTCAGTGGTGGGACCTTTAGCTTAGAACTGCCCCTGATAACATTCTGCTTTCTAGGTAGATGGAGTCATGGGGCTTCTGGGTGGCAGGGATTGGCCAGTCTCAGTTCTAATTTTGCCTTTGTCATTTCTAAACCATGTGACCTTGGAAAGCTATGTCATTTCTACACCTGTTTCCTCCTGCATACGAGATTATACCCACCTTCCAGGGTTGTTTTGAGGATTCAATGAAATAAATGTAAGTGCCTCGCACAGAGACAGGCACAATTCGTGGCATGTAGTAGGTGCTCAGTAAAAGTCATTTCTCTTCCCTCCATGAGGATCTTCTGCTCATTGTTAGGAAGGAGTCTCCCCAGGCACCTGGGATAGTGGAGAAGGTAACGGCCCTGAGATCAGCCTTTCTGCAGGCACAGACCTCTCCAATCACTCTTACATAGAAGCAGACGTGAACTTTGTCCACACCCATGGGCATTTGCTTATTTATCTTAATTCCGACAGGCCACAAATGCATATACAGTTTCAGTTGGGTGAGTGTAGTTTAATTTGCCATTCCCAGAAGAGCTCAACCAGCTTCCAGCTTCCACAATTACATACAATACAAAAAGATAAGTGCGTGAGAAGATGCAGGCACAGGGAAAGGCACAATCAAGCAATAACCCAGGGGTAGGATCAGCACTTGACCCTGTACACGCATTCCCACGGCTCCCCCTCCGCTGTCCTGTGAGAATGCCTAGCTCTGGGCTCTGCCTGGGACACTTTTGAAGGTATCTGCCAGACTTTGCTCGCCTTTCACTCCCAGCTTCTCCGAGAAGCCGTCCTCCCTGCCCCTTCCTTGTCTCTACGCCTGCTCCTGATTTGTTTTCCTTCATAATGCTCACTAACGCCGGGCATCCTGGATTCTGCTTATTGTGTGTCTCTCCTCCCCTGGAATGTAAGTCCCACGAGGGCCTATCTTGGTCCCTTTTTCCACTGCTGCTGTACTGCTGGGGAATAAAACTTCTTGGTACATAGTACATCCTCAGTAAATATTTGTTGATTGAGTAAGCATACAGAAGTGTATACAGTACAGAGTCTGTCTGCTCAGCTGCCAGAAGTAGACTTCAGGTTGGACTCCTGGCTTTTGATGGTGAAAACAGATAAGGAAACAGTGAGTTCAAAGAGTCACAGTGTTCACTGGGTAAAAATAAAGTCTACTTAGGAGCAGCCTGACATGAAACTTGAAAGCACTTTCCCTTTCAGTTCTCGATAAAGTCATTCTGTATGATACTGTAGAGAAGGTTCATGGAAGGGTCATTACATATAACAACACATTTTGGGGGTTTTCTTCAAAAGTGCTGAACCACCTGTATGATGGAGAAGAGCCCAGTGTGACCAGTTATGTGTTCTCTGCAGTGTCTCATCTCGCTCCCTGCTTTTCTTATTAACACAGAGCTCATGAACAGCTAAATGTGAAGCATGAACCTCTGCAGCTCATCCAACCTCAGTTTGAGACGCCGCTGCCAGCCCTTCAGCCAGCGGTGAGTGGGTGTGCTTGGGGGATCCCGCTGCAGAACCCCACTGTTTGTCCTTCCCTCGCCAGCTGTGCTCCTCCTTTGAATCCTTCCAGTGCCATTTGTGCCACTTGTCATGGAGGCACGTTTCTTGGTTCTAAATGTGCACAGAGACCAAGCCTATTTGCATTCCACAGGGACTTCCATTTGGTGTCCTTCCCAGCTGAGAAATCAGGGGTGTGGACTTTCCTGGCTATGAAACATTTCCCAGCTTGTGGGATTGGAAAGCATATATGAGAATTCCTGGGTAAAGAGGAGGAAAAACCTGGTGCTGCAGCTCTCCAGGCAAGAGGCACTCGGATTTAGAGCACAGTTCTAACAGCCCAGGGGATTGTCATGTGTATATAGGTGTTTTCAATATTCCAGTCCAGCATTAACTCGTCTTCAGAATTATCCTACCACTTTCTGGAATATTATGAGCCAGTTGGCTTCATCTTGGTAGCTTGAAACTGGTGGAAGGATTTACATCACAGAAAACGACAAATGCTGCAGATCAGGCCTTTTGTTTTTATTGTTTTGAGAACTGGTAGTTAAACATACATCAGCACACCACTGGTTCATACCTGTGTGTTCTGGCTCCAAGTTCATTGCATTCTACACTAATCTACATCTGCCTTCCCAATTTCTGTTCCTAAAGAGCTCATGATTAAATGAGAAATAAGCTGTACAATCAAATGTTCACCACAGATAAGTCTAACATGCCCCAGGCTTTGTCCTTGCACGAGTTCATGGGCACGGGTATGCCAGCTTGGTCAGCTTAGTGGTGTGGTTAGAGCTGGTTCTGCTTGGTTACCATGGGCTGGGTGTCTTCCTTGATATGATCTCATGGGTTAGGGCAGGAGGAGGTGATAGGTGTTAGGGGGGTTCACCCCAGGGAAGGGTTGCGATGGCCTCTCATTTCCCCTTCGTCTCATCACCGTCACTTACGACTCTGGATGCACTCTTTCATGAGAGACCTTATTTCCTTTTAGGTTTTTCCTCCCTCTTTCAGGGAATTGCCACCTCCTCCACTGGAGCTGTTTGACTTAGATGAGACGTTCTCCTCTGAGAAGGCACGGCTTGCCCAGATTACCAATAAGTGTAAGTTTGGCCACGTTTTCTACTATGAATTTTATTTATGAACTTCTGCGATTTGCCATGAGAGAAAGCTTAGCATTTGTTTAGGGAGAACAAAATACGAACGTGAGTATATAGTTATAATTTTCGTGTATTTCATGTAAATGATGGTGATGATTTTTCTCAAGGCCAGTTAGCTCAGTAAGTTAGCACATGGTGCTGAGAAACCATGGTCTCAGCTGTTGTTCAGCATCTTAGCTGT